CAAAAGTTCCTTTAACGAAGCTTCCGCGACGTTCTAGACGAACGGGCGTTAAATATTCCTAAGAATACCTCATCGACGAATACATCTAATTTGTCAGATTCAAACTCTTTATACAATTTCGCTTGTAAGTAGATACGCATTTGTCAATTTGAACAACTCAAACAATACTTATACTTAAGTCGATTCTATTCACAAATCTGTACCAATTTAAATTTATATATATATATATATATAATATAATTATATACTATGCATATACACTCTGATCTTTCACGAAGAATCATTGATAAACGTTACTGTGAACAATTGGGAATACCCCTGAGCGTAATTTTGTTAACGAAATTTGATATACGATAAACCTTTCTGCAGAATATAATATTATTCACGCTAACCCCGTTACGGTAATTGCACCAGTGAGTAATTGTACGCAGATACAAACGAGATACCTAAATACCCGAGAACGAATGCTCGTTTTTGCCTACTCGATTTACATAGGCATACGTACAGTTGCAAAACAGTGCATGGTATTTTTGAAACAAAAGCTGCATAGTTTCCATGTACGTTACGTCGAACGAATTTATCTCGTGTTCGAATATAAAAAAAAGAAAAAGAAAGAAAAATGTAAAAAATATAAGAGCTTTTCTGACAATCTACATCTTTACATATCTTCGTATTTATTTCTAGAAAAGCTTGGACAGTCTCTCTCTATGTTTATCTCTAATAATTTGTTCAATACCACGCTTTTTCCGCTTTTCTTTTATCGTTCTTTCTCGTAAACACGAATCACGAATAGTCCGAATATTACTTGGGAGAACTTGTGTCGATACACCATCGACGAACAACAATTGCAGTGGCTTCGTTGACGTTCACGAGAGTCGTCGAACGCAACTTGTCACTTCCCAAAAAGGCACTTATTTCATCACGATACGCAGAGATTAGTATAAAAAGGAATGTAAACGTGTAACGTAAATAGGAATTCAGGAACCCGATCGATGCGAACATCTACGCGTAACGATTGATTTTTGTTGGAGAAATGAGTTGGCCGCGCTCGCCGTTTCAAATTCCATAGTAATCATTCACGGTGTTATTGTTGCGCACGTCGTGCCCGGCGACGCGGGGAGTAACTACAGGGTGGCGAACGCGACATTACAGATAATCGACGAACACTTGTGCGCGTGAAATTCGGCTTACTATAATTTAACATCGATGAACGACCACACGCGGACACGCATTGTCGAGCCGAAAGTATCGCGCGTTATCGTCTACGTTACATATTCGTTCGATAACCTAACGTTGGTTTGTGCTATGGATGATAGGAAACACGAGAGCAATGATAAGTTTATCGTTTTTACTATTCCCCCGGGCGGCAAGTAAGGTCCTTCACGCTCTGATACATTGGTCGAAAAGGAAGTGGCAAGATCTCGTCTTGGTCGCGTATCTAATTGAACGTGTCTTCGTTTTCACACAACCGTCGATAGCACAAACGTTTCTCAAGTAGCCGAGGATGTCGGGGAGGATCACCCTGGGCGTTATCACAATGCAAAATAGAAGGCAAAGATTAAGGTCGAGGAGAACGTAAGCATTAGATCTCGGTGTCTTTCGCGTATTTCTCGATCTCGGGGTAGATGGGTGACATCTCGAGAGTGCTGGGTGCCGAGGGTACCGAGGTGGGTGACGCTCCGCTCGTCGAGCCGAGATTCATATGACGACAAAGCTCCTCCAGTACCTCGTTGAACATCATCACGTTCATGTTCTGTCCCAGTAGGTGAAGCAGCATGAAGTCTCCGACCTGGAAATTTGTATACGAATAATGGATACGATCTTATCGCGATAATCTTTCAAACTGGTTATCACTGAGAAACGCTATCTTTCTACCCTTATCCTAGTCTAGCTCTTTTTAACGAGTCTAGTTCTATTTCTACAAACATTAATTAAACGATCGAGTAGATCAGCTGCCTGAATCATGTACCTGTGTCTCTCTGATGAGCGCAGTAACGCTATCCGCAGTGCCAAACTTGAATCGTTTCATGAGAATAGTCTCCCGAGTACTGGGCAGCAGAACCACGGCCATACTATACAGCAGAGCGACTCCTGATAGCACAGCCAGGACGATGAACCAGAACCAGAGGAAGATGTAGATCTTTTCGTTGAGGATATTGAGAGCGAGGACACAAAGAGCATCAAACTTCTGAATAGTCCCGGAAGCACCAAATTTGTGGAAGGTACACTTGGTGACTCGCGGAAACACCTCGACCATGGGGTCGCTGCGTTGCTCCTGATTCATATTGCTGAATTTGAGCACTTCTGTTCCGTAGGACAAAAAGGCGCCGCCAAGGAACGTGTCGATGAAGAATATATTGCCAACCTGAAACAATTCGACGCTTTCATTAGCCCAGGGCTTTTAAACGGTCGAAAGCCTCTAGGTAGCTAAGCGAGCACGCTGAAAAGCGGTTTCAGAATGGTCTTGTTCCAGTCTTTTGCAACCGGTTGTCTGTTTGTCGGTGCAAAAGCAGACGCGACAAAGCCGGGAGCGTTATTAAAGGCTGGAGGTTTTACGATCGCCCGGTAAAGAGCCTTCCATTCGTGCGACACGGTGCACTTACCACGTTAACGAAGTTGAGGGCCTCGCAGAAGAAGTAACCAGCCGCATAGCTGTTATGCAGGTGCAACGTGTCGAAGATGTATTTGGCCAATCGTTGGGACTTGACCTGTCGCTCGGGTTTGTTATCGACCAAGGTCCCCCTCATACCCTCGGATATCATTCTGACCTTGCCCTCTTCCCACTGCTTCCATATCCAGTGGGGCATGTAGAATAGGATACCTTGGAAGAACAGCATGAAGGGCACCCACTGATAATACGAGTGGTACCTCTTCTCCCCGATGTCGCCGCCGAGGCCGGGGTGAGCCACGTGAGTGCCCACCGGTTTCGCGCTATTGTGGGGCAGCGTGAAGGTGTACGTGATCCAGCAGTACGTGTTTATCACGTTCTCCGGCACCCCTCCGTCGCTCAGGCAGTTTATCGGATCACCTGCAAGCATCGTCGATTAGTCTCTCCTCGAACCTGATATCCCAGCCCCCTTTTTTCAAAGCCCCCTTTCAGCGACTGGGGCGACTCTGATATTTCTCGCTAGCGGAGATCAGCCTGAATATGATATTCCGCGAATTTCATGGAATATCGAAGGAATTCTACGAGCGCGGCTATTCTCCAAAACGGTGATAGGATCCCGTCGGATCGCGAATGACCTCGTTAAACAACGGCCGCGCGTTATCCGTTTGATTGCGAGCGCAATTGCGCGTAAAATTATGCAACCAGCGACTCCCTGTCAGCCGGAGCGTGGAACGGTGGTGCGGTCGGGAGCGGACAGGATGGGCGAGAAGAGGCGAGGAGATGAACACGTGTGCGAATCGGTCGTGGTGCACCGTGCGCTGATAGGTCGCTCGTTAAACGGCCAGATAACGCGCGACACCATTGGGAATCTGGTCTGGAGGTCTCGTCGTCGGCTACAAGCAGCTGGAGTCCGGACTGCTGTGTGCTCGATGATAAATAAGCACGCGCGTCCTCGAAACTGGACGTCGTGTTACAGGGACTTAGATCACGACCGTCTAAGCCTGTCCTGGCCGCGACGCGATCTCGGCTCCTCCGTGCATGGGTGCAATCATCGTTGACCTCTGACCCGCTCCCGCTCTGCACCCCTGCCGTTAGATAAGAGGATCGTTTTTCCGACTTAATTCACTTACGGATCGAATGATCGTCGGAAATGAGAGTAAACAATCACGAGACGCAGACTCTTGGCTCTCCTCGTCAGCCGTGCTCACTCTCGGCTGGTACCAAGCGTCACGCAGACAGACGAAGGAATGCGAGCCTCGTAAGCGGAGATACGAATATGTTTCGCGGATTTGACAGTTTGGCCAGGTCGAGTTCTACCAGAGGGATCGAGTTCGTAGGAATTGCAAAATTTCCGGCGAACCGAGTCGACCAAACGGTCCCTTCTCGCGGTTAGCCGCGAAAGCGTCGGACAAACCGGACAGGGTTGCTTACCTATTAGATTATTGGCAGAGACGATGATGCAACAGGCGAACAGAATCGCCGAGGTGATCCTGTAGTGTGCCCTGAACACCATGTTGTCGATGATCGCCTTGTCCACCAGGTACCGCACCTTCACGAAACCGGCCACCGCCGAGACTAGCCCAAACACCGCCATTGCTCTCCTCGGTCAACGTCTTCCTGCAAACGATCAAACGACATACACGTGATGCACGACTCCCGGTATACGCGTTGATAGATCTCGATGGAATGATCTCGAAGCCACGGGAAGACCCGGATGCTCGTGCTGGACTACTTGCGGCGGAGCAATCGCGATCGACAAGACTCCCTGTGTCATCGATACAACTACCAACGCCCGAGCATTTACATTCTTGTCGAGTAAGTCAGTTACGCGCGGTGAGTCAATGCACTTGGGAATGATCGAACAGAGAACCCGGGGACACCGACGTCTCGAGCTCGATGCTTAATAACGCGT